ATATATATATATATATATATATATATATAAACCAACGACTTCAAATGGAAGAACCAACTTTGTTCTACTAGTTACTACGAGCTCTCCCAAGCATACTTTACAAAAATCCATGGATTTTATTTGTTCCGGACCTTGAATAGTTTAAATATTAAGAATCTAACAACATGGCCCTCGGAGAAAATGGCAAGTACAGGATTCTCGTCCACAAGGAGAGATGAAGCGCTCTAAAATATCCACAACGTGGGTCCAAACCCTGCCACTCCTGAAATGGTGATAATACTTGGAGTCATCGGAAATTATATAAAAACCTTCTGGCAATAGAATTCTTCAACATCTATTTCCCACAACAGTAAATGTTTAGCAAAGCATTTCACGTCGTTTTCTGTGAATTACTGCACCAATGGACATACAGAAAGGACTTTCTGAAGGAAATCATTATTGGAGATCAACCCTGAGTCCTCTCCCTCCATCATACACTAAACACAATGTGAACCATAATTGCTGGAAAACGATCTTAAACAGGATTTCAACGCTAATAAGGTTCTCCAGCTGTGTTTGTGAGATTTGGAAAGAGATAATCACATTACAGCATTTGATGAAACTCATACAATTAAATGAAAATTTTGGCCATTGACATGTACGTGTAAATGATGATGCGATTGAACATGTGCACTTCCGTCCAGCACATGTCCCTAAACTGGTTGTCAGTGTGGGCGGTTGCTTCCCTTCCGTTAAAGACTTTGAAGCCCTTTTATTATTTTCTTTTTCATTAGTAAGCTAATACGAAGTTCATTTTAAAAACAGAAACTTTGTTTCGCTAGTGTTTCGACGTTTTCCGTCCCCTTCTTCAGAGCAAAGTTGATCGGAGTCGATTGTACAAACTTGTTCCCTCTTCCAATGTTTGTCGCCGCACAATACGTCCTGCAGCAGTAAGTATCAAACGATCATGAACGCACAATCAGTATCGGCAACTTCCCTGCATAAAAGAGTGCTGCCGAGTGAGGTTACTTCAGTCGTGATCAACTAGACTCGACTCCAGACCATCAACAAGACCCACATCAGGAGAAGTAACAACTGTTGACAGTAGATTCAGATTAATAGTTTTATCCCGCAAGGAAAAGATGCCGAAACGTTAGCCGATTAAATTTTATCAACCTTATGCTAAGGCGTCAATGAAAAAATACGTGTTGATTAGCTTTGTACAGGTTAAATAACAGTTCTTTTTTGAAACAATTTCCAATGTATTACTTTTTCTGTGTTCTTAATCCTAAAAATAGAAATGAAGACAAGGTTTCACAAGGACATTCATTGCATTTCAAATGACAGCGCAAACTCTCGTTCACAATTTTGTCAAGCCCTCAGTTAGTGTCTTTATCGGAAAGCAGTTATCGAAAGAAACACTATCAAGAATACGATAAGAAAGTTATATAAGCCTGAAAGGAATTTGTACTGGCACAAAATTTTTATTCTCAACATAACGAAAGGAGGAATATCAACTCCATAACTGACTTTTGGGCTATACCTTTTCAGTTGTTAAGCAACGACCTTTTAAATGGCAACGTGTGCACTTCTTGCAGTGGTAGTAACTGACTTTTACGCATCTCATACACCGGTCACAATGCTTGTACGCTGAACCATCCTGTAAAGAAAAAGCCTTAAAACAACAATAATTGGTGACGAATGTATCGAACACCCCACTGCGGTAAGCCGCTATATTAAGCAAACAAGAGGTGTTACTTTATTCTTTATTCCGTTAAATCTGTTTCGGCGACAGTATCGCCTTCTTAAGAGTCGTTTATTACGCGCTTTCCATTGAGGAAGAACAGTTTTCATCGACCATATGCGATTCTGATCTGTTGTTTTTCCTCAGTGGAAGGCACATAATAAATGGCTTTGAGTAAGGCGATACAGCCGAAACGTCAGCTTTAACGGAATAAAGAATAAAGTGACACCTCCTATTTGCTCAACAAGAATACCAAGAACTATTTGATCAATACCGAGGTTAACAGAAAGTCAGTCGGGGGAGGTACCGCTATGTTAATTAATTAATTCCTAGTTAAATAAGCATTTTAACAACAGATGAAAAACGGAATGGCAAGTATGTCCATACACGAAATCAAGAGGTCCAGCGTGTGACCAAAATGATTTAATCTGCCGAATCTTTATGATTTGTGCAGGCTTATATGCTTAAATCAATTATTAACTGAACAATAGCGCAGAAACGCACAGGTTAAATGGATGAGAGATAAGAGTGAACCAAAATTTGCCCTAAATTTGCATTAAGGGAAACATGATAAACCTACGTTGAAAAATCCGACGCCTATTGTCGTTACTAATAAGTTTTCCAACTACTTTCTAAACCATCAGCAACAGAACCTCACTTATTTGACGTAGATCCACTAATACTACTTTAAGGCGAAGAAAATGAGAATATTTCAAAAATCGCATTTCATACAAACGCTTGGAACCTCAATTAAAAGATAATAATCAGTCTTTTCCTTCAAAACGTTATCACCTATAGGCTCGTTGATCGTCGAGTGACTCGAGCGTGCGCCAACAAATCTTCCACTTCTCCTTGTCGCGTGCACGAGTAGCCTCATGGGTTCTACTCGCTCTAAGTTCTCGTCGAGCACCCTATAATTCTTCTAGGCTCTTGGTGAAGAATTCTGACCACCGGATCGGTGGTCTCTCTGCAATACTTTTGACATCCCGAGGAATCCAGTTACTAACGGCTCTTGTCCATCGGTTGTCATTCATACACAATACGTGTCCGGCCCACCTTATTTTCGACTGTTTGGCGCACAGGACGGCATCTTCGATTTTTGATCGCTGACGCAGATCGGAGCTTCGGATCCCATCCCTTGTGTGGAACGGGATCCTCCTAGCATCGCCCTTTCGACTGAGCGTTCGATAACGCTGAGTGACCTTTCATCCTGCTTACGCAGCGGCCAGTTTCCGGCGCATACGTTAGGGCAGGAAGTACCGTTGAGTCGAAAAGGTGGGCACATAGTCCGGTGTTCTTCGTTATTTTCACTACATAATCGATGCTCTAGAAAGCTCTCCAAACCGCTCGTTTCCTTCTGCTCAGCTCTAGAGCTAGGCTGTCATCATATTGATGTCCTGACCTAGATAGATATAACTGGAGCATTAGGAGATATCTGATCCGTTGAGAGTGAATGGGGCATGCGAAACCAACCCGTTTTTCATGAACATCGTTTTTGTGAGATTTAGTCGACGACCGATCTTACCACAGGCTTTATCAAAGTCTTAAAGCATACGTTCCCCTTAGCTAATGTTTAATGTTATAAGGACGATGTCATCAGCAAAGCGAAGACGGTGTAACTGCCATCCATCGATTTTCACTCCTATGTTGTGCCATTCCAATGTTCGCATGACGTTCTGGACGGTGGCGGTAAATAATTTTGGCGAGATGGTATCGCCCTGCCTAACTCCTCTTCAGACGTTAAAGTTAATATCGTTCTAGAATGATGATACCTTGGTTGTGAAATTTCTGTACAGCTCACGAAGAATCTTTATGGACTGAGTAGGGACTCCTTGACTATCAAGGGCTTGCAAGAATGCTTTTATCTCAACTGAATCAAAGGCCTTCTGTAAATCGATGAAAGTGAGACAAAGCGGTCTTTTGTACTCTCGCAATACTTCAATGAGCCGTCTTACCGTGTGGATGTGGTTCATCGTACTAAATCCTCTTCGAAGCTCCGCTTGCTCACATGGATGTCGTTCGTCTAGTGTTCTGTCAATCCTGTTTAGGATGACTCGAGTGAAAAGTTGTAGACGACAGGCAGTAAGCAGATTGGGTGATAATTCTCGATATCGTGTTGGTCACCCTTGTTGAACAATAACATGGTCTTGCTGGTGTTCCACTGAGTAGGCCGAGCCTTTGTGTTCACGAGGAATCGCGTAAGGTTCTTCAAGTGTACTGGCCTTAACTCGTCCGGAACTGGCGCTGTTCGCTTTTTACCGACGAAATGGCAGGTTGGATTTCGGAAGGGAGAACTGGTGGCACAACATATCCATCCTCCTTTATTTCATATGACGGAATGTGGACGTGGCTATCGAAGAGATTCGAGTAGTATTCGTGAATGATTTTCTCCATTGCCTTTCTGGATGCCGCAACTGTTCCTCTGGCCGCCGGAGTGCAATCATTTTCGTCTTGTCATTGGCGAAGCTTCAGTGGGCATTGCAAATGCTTTTCCCAGCCTCTGCAACTTCGACCTCTACTGCTGCGCTTCTCTCTCTAAGATCTTCTTTTATCACCTCTCTGCATTGCTTTGCAAATTCGAACGTTAGTTCGCGGTTGCTTGCAGCTCGTGCGATTCCACACTGGCGCATCAACACAAGTGTTTCTGGAGACAGACGTCTCTTGGTGACTTTCGAACTCTGAGCTTTCATAGCGCTAGCGTGAAGATGTTGAATGAGCCGATCGTATTCTTCGTCGATGTAATCGACAACGGCATCTTCCCAACAGCCGACTAATGAATTGAATAAATGCCAGTTTACGGTAGTTCTGGGACTTCGGTTTTGGAATTTAGCGGCTTTTTCTCCATTCCGCGAGAAATAGAATCTTGCTCGAAGGAGACGATGATCTGATCCCGTGTAGAATTTTGGGACAACAGCAACATCGGTGAGGCAAAACGTTCTACTTAGTTTGATGTGGTGTATTTCGTTATGGTATTCTCCATTGGGAAACTCCCACGTCCAGCGGTGAGGATGGGGATTCTGGAATTGCGAGTTACCATGGATTGTCTTGGTTGCCATGATAAACTCAGGCAGCCGCTCACCCTGTTCGTTCCATTCTAATCCGTGGGCCCCAATGTGATGTTCTTCAGACCTTCTTCTTGGTCCTTCTTGGTCCAATCTTGACGTTGAAATCTCCAATGATGACCTTGAAGAATGTTTGGTCTTCTCTGCAGAATTTGTCCAAGTCCATATAGAACGTTTCGACTTCTTCTTCGTCATAGTTTGATGTCGGCGCGCAAACGACGAAGATTGGCAAAGGCGGAATCAATCCACGTCTTCTTAATCGTAAACGTCTGATTCGAGCTGCAAGTTATTCGAATGAATCGATGTTAATGGACAATCTCGTGTTAACGAGAATGCCGACGACGCCGACTCCTCTGCTGTCGCATGTTCCGAGGAACAGTTCTTCTCCGGTGTCATAGAAGGCGTTGAAAGGCTGGCGTCGTCTTGTCTCGGGCACGCCGATGACATTGTACCTTATCCTTCTTGCTTGCATCAGCAAGTCTTCTATCGAGGATTCGGATGCAAGTGTACGTGCATTGAAGGAACAGATCGTCACCATAGTTCTTTGAAATCCAGGCACCTTCCAATGTTCTTGAGATTTTAGCAGCCTTTCCGTACTAATCCAACCCAACGCTGCCGAACTGGGGGCTCTTTCGTGGTCATAGGAGTGAGGCTGGTTCTTTTTTTTAACTGTGTTTAGCATTTTGATACCCACGTAAAGCTTGCTGCGCTCTGAACGTGGTGGCTGGATATACTCACGGGTAGCTAGACAGGCTCTCCCAGAGTGGACGTGGAGTTTACTTGTTGGAGGCGACTCCACATACTTCCCTGTCACTTGGTTGCAGGCTTTTGGCCGAATTGACTCGTAGAATACAATCCGCATAAGTGAGAACACACCCACACACACATGAATGAATACGCCTAGCAAATACAGAAAGTGTGTGACAAATCGGCGCAGCAGAAACAGGGAGTCGATCCCCTGGATCCACTAGCGTCTTAGAGAAGCAAAAGCCGCTCCGCTTTTGGTCTGCGATTAAACCCCTATCCGCCAGCTGTGGACGCGCTACGTTGCCTCGCAACCAACCGGCTCGAGATCCCTCACATGAGGGAGATCCGTGGAAGTCTCACACTTAACGAAAAGGTCACTCTGATGTACTCCGAAAAGTATTTTTCAGTGTTTTAAGTTCCTATTTACTGACCAATTTTTTCACGGCAGGATAAAATGATAAAGGTTAAAGCTCTCGGCGTTGATCAATCCCTGAGGGATGTGGCATGCATTCTACTTCATTAACCGCCGTTGGAGATGATTAAATGCATATTTGATCTTCACAATGACTCGCAGTGGTTTACCGATGTATCGAGCCAGTGCTGCTATGCTCCCAGACAAGGCTGGTACCAATTCGCCGACCCCGGAGAGATGGAAGGCTTGGTGGGAAATAGGCGCAGGGACCGATTCCACGTGTATGTCGCAGGGCGCCTCCGTCCATTGCTCCACACGCACCTTCATGGCAGGATATTATGTCGAAATACAAGTTTCTGAGTTTTGGTTATATTCGTACTTCATATAATAACTTGCCATGAAGAAAAGATAGGCAGGAAATCAAAGTTAAAACATTGTGATTTCGACTGCAACTTGAAATTGACTGGGTTCACTTTCACTTTCAGTCACACACCTTCCCATTATTAGCAAAGTCTGTGATACATTTCTGGTATCACTTATAATATCTCCTTCTTAACATACTGTTGCAAATCCCAAAACCGACTTTCTGTTAGCCTCTGCATTAATCAATATTTTTTCTCAATAAGCAAGCACGACGTTGGTGTTATAGAATTTATTACGATAAAATAGCTGACGTTTCGGCGGTTTCCCCTTCTTCAGAGCCTGGAAAGGTCGAACTAACACGCGATTTACTCAGCCAAAGACTGTTAACCCTAGAAAATATTATATTACAATTGAAGTGTTTGGCTGAGTAGATCGCGTCTCAGTCTAACCTTTCCAGCCTCTAAAGAAGGCGAAACCGCCGAAACGTCAGCTACTGCATCGTAATAAATTCTATAACACCAACCTCGTGTCTGCTTATTGAAGAAAAACATCGAATTATCTATCAATTCCGGGGTTGATAGAAAGGTGGGAATTGCTACTTAATCAATAAATCATTGCTTCCTTGATGAGCAAACACAAGGCTCTTACTACACTATTTATTCACAATAGATTACGCTTCGCCGTTTTCGCCTTCTTCGAAGCCTGGAAAGGTCAAATTGACATGCAGTGTTCTTAGGTAAGCAGTACAATAGCCTCTCTAGAAAAAGCTTAACACATAAATTCTATTTGCATAATAAACAGCTTCTGTTAAACGGACACCGCTCTGTTCTTTACGAGTCTTTCAGTTCTCGTTATACCTTTGTTTCGTTTCTGAGGTCAACAGCAGAAGGTCTTGTATGGATGACGAATGGGCTTTGCTCAGGTCAAAACATCAGTCTGGCGTATGGCTCGAGGTCATGCGTGATCAGAAGGCACTCCTCCTCGAACCTCATTTTTGGATTTTTGGAACTTATCCAGAACGCTTCAAGAGTTTTTTTGCACTGACGTTTTAGATTCCTTCGCGAAGATAGGTACTTCAAAATCTTCTCCGTTATCACTCAATACCCCATACGTGCCTGATAGAATATTTTGCTTGGCTTTTAGTCTCAGTCTACACGCTCTTTTATACGGACGCAAATTTTCACCGACGTATTCATTCACAAATGCTTTACAAGAAATCAGATGTGTTGCCTAACTCACGTTTAAAAGTGTTCAGTGGGATTTCAGTCGGTTATTCAGCTCCAGTTATTTCGGAACATAAAGTTCAGCAGGTAGAAAGGTAGAAAACTAGCTCAGAGAAAGGCAAAGCAAGGGCCTCTGTGGTGTAGTGTGTAAGACGAGAGCCCCCGGAAAGGGTAATCATAGTTCTATCTGGTCTGGGGTCCAAGTTTAACTAATATCTCAGCGCCACTGTGGTAGTATTTCACATAATACCCTGTCGTGAAAAAATACAGTAAAAAAAAAGGTTGACATAAAGCTGAATTATCAAAACGCCTCGGCTTATACTTATCAAAACCCATTAGTTAACATTGATTGATGATCTTGTGCTTCCACTCCCACTAATCCCACAACGTTCAAGGCTAGACCTATCATCAGCTGTGTTGATGGAACCACGGACAGAATAGCTTGGTTCATAAAACTAACACATCCAATTGATAAAACACATTTCAGCCCAACATACAAACACTCAAGTGTTCCTAGATCATACACGTAACGCGAGTCCTAGCAGCGCCTACCTAATGGAGTCATTCGATATTACCGTCCTTTATGCTATTTCGAATAACTTCGAAATACAAGCCGTTTCCATGCTACCTATGCAATATAAAGAAGCAATGAACATGAATAGCTGCTCTATTCAGCAGCTCACAACCCTATTAAAGGAGTGCCTAAACTGCTCAATCTTCAGACTGTAGAAACTACTGTGCACAAATGAGAAGGTTGGCAATGCAACGGCCAGGACCAACCCTTGGAATTGCGTCCACTCCTAAAGCAGAAGTTTTTTTGAGCTCACAGTAACCCATCCAAAATGGCTACATCACCAAATGGTACTAAAATCTCAGTGACAAAAACCCACGGCTCCATTACCTCTCCCCTCATCCTTCACACACAAAAAGGACGCCAGTAAAAAATATATATCAAACAGCCCACCAGTACCAGTTTCCAAAGGAAAAGAGCAGTAGGAATCTATGACCTTGGTACGGTAAATATCCAGCTCCATTAGCTACGAAACGGTAGCACCTCGGGATAAACTTTGATGAAGAGCAGAACCCCAAAACAATATGTCTACCGAAAGCAAAGTTATCACACCTAGTCGGTAAACTTAAAGCTGAAGCAAATACTCCACTAGGCGCGCATAGGACACAGAGATATGACTGGGAAGATTTTGAAGAAGTTACCATTCTCTTGCAGGAATCGAACACGTTAGCGCAAAGTACTCTGAAACCATTTTGGATAAGGTCCAAGAATCCAATAATCGCAGAATCGCAGGGAGGAGTGCTTCGTTATCATGTGTGACTTCGCGTTATATCTCGGGCTAATTTTTGACCTAAACCAGGCACATTCCTCGCCTATGTAAGACTCTTCTGCGCAGTTAGTCTCAAACAATAACTAGAGGACATATGAAGAACAAAACGGTGAGTGTTTATAAGAAGCTGCATATTATGCGAACGAAATATGTGTATTAAGTTTTATCTGCTGAGGTTATAACAGGGTTTGGCCGAATAGATCGCATGTCAATTTGACCTTTCAAGGCTCCGAAGAAGGCGAAACTTTCAAAACCTCGGCTAATGTGAACAAATAATGTAATATCAGCCTCGTGTCCGCTCATCAAGGAAACAGTAAATTGTTCATCGCATTGTTCTTCTAGGTTCCTTATGAAGAATTCTAACTTTCGTGTCGGCTTTACATTATACATTAGTTTTACATTAGCCCTGTGCTCGTCAGTAGATTTTCAATGCTCCTGAAATATTCCTATACTTACTCTTACTCAGCTCTAGGGGTTATTCAGTCCGCTAAGCATTAATGGGCCACTGTAAACAAAGCCATTTCTCAACAGCTTTCTTTAAAATCGGTCAAAGACCACGCTTTCTGCAGGAATTATCGAAATCAGCTATCGCTCGCTCCGCATGGCCAATTATTGATGTCATAAGAATAGTATCATCAGCAAGTCCAAGATGGTGTAATTGCCCACTATTGATATTGTTTCCCTAGTTGTCCTATTCCAATTTTCCCATGACATTCTCGAGGATAGCCGCAATTTGGCTAGATGGTGTCATCTTGTTGAACCCCTCTTTCTACCTAAACAAAAATATCGCTACACAGTGGTCATATTCCGGATGTGAAGTTTTTATATAGCTCATGTAGGATATTCATAAAGCAAGTAGCGACGCCTCGGCTATTCAGAGCGTCCGTGACCGGTTCCATTGTGACTGAGTCGAATGCCTCCTTGAAGTCAATGAAAGCGGAACAGAACGGTCTTTTGCACCTCTTTATACTTAAATGAGCTTAGTTATCGTGTGGATGTTATAGACGAAACACAGCAGTCAGATTAGCCGGTAGTTAATCATGTCGCAAAAGCTTCCCCTCCTGTGCAAAAACCCGACTTCCTGGAATTCTGTTGAATAGGAGCCTCGTAGTCGGACAGGTTATCAAGCGTATGGACAAGGATTGGCAGAAGTTTCTTCATATTTTTTGATGTGACATTGCATGGATGCGGTTTCTTAGCAAAAAGATGTCAAGTCGCATTTCGGAAGAGAGAACCGCTGAGGCCAATTAACAAGCTTACATGATTTCATATGCAGACATGATGAAGTGATTGTTGGAAAAATCCAAGTCTAAGTCATGGATGACTTTCTCCACTCTTTTTCTGCAAACAGTATCTGTTCTACCAGGGAACCGGTGCATTATTAGCATGGTCTTGCAATGGGGGTGCTGAAGATGGCTTTCTCAACCTCTGGAGTTTTAGCTATTAGAATGGAGTTCCCTCTAAAAGATCTTCTATCACATTGGTGAGAAGTTTAATAAGTTCGGACATGACTTAGCCACTGTTTGTGCCTCGTTCGAATTCGCGTTGGCGCATCATTCAAGTGCACCTGGAGACGGGTGTTTCTCGTTGACTTTCAAACTCCCTGCTTTTTTAGCACTAACAAGAACATGTTAAATAACCCGGTCGTATTTTTTAAGAGTTCTCGATAAGGACACTTTCGCAAAAGCCGACTAATTAGAACAATTCTTAATTCACGACTGCTTTAGGATTTCGAACCTTGAACTTTGCTTTCTCGCTTTTCTTCAAGAAAATAAACGCTGCGCGATAAAGACGATGAACAAATCTTACGTAAACTTCTTGGACAATAGTGACGTCACTTAGACAAAACCAACGGTTTACTATGATGCATCATTGTCTGTACGAAAGACAATTAATCATCATTGAACCCATGTTGGACGCTGTGGAATGGAGAACCATCTTAGTACACACCTCATTTTAAACTCACTATCCTCAAAAACACCTCCAGTGGCAGGCTTCACAGCTTAATGAACGACCCCTTTCCAAAAAGCGATTTTCGTATTTCGCTAAAAGATATAAGAAATTTTGAGAATAACTTTTAATGAGCTGACATATTGCGCAGTATGTTTGACAAACTATCGACTGAATGCAACAAGGAGATCAAAGAACTTTGTACGACAAAATAAAGGCGTGGGAAGAAAATGGGTGTATACCAATTCACTATAGACTATAAGTGGTGATTAAACAAGGATATGTTTCATAGCAGTGGGAAAAATCCGTGCGGTGAAGTTCTCTTTGCAACAAGTTTTTAAATAACAAAAAACCAACAATAACCAAACTATATACCTTTGATGTACAGGATGAACACATAAAGCAGTGTTTGTTCGTACTTGAAACGTACTTTTCACAAAACTCGCAAAACCTGCAGAGACAAAAAATGTGTGGCATATTTTCTCTTGTCTTCCACAACGAATGCACTCACTTGTAACCTTTAACATTTGATAAGTCGAAAACATCTGCTTTCAAATTCGTGAAGCACCTGACGATGGTTTTCGACGCATTTGAAAATAGCCTGTGGCTCTCGTAAGTTATCTGAAGGGTACAATGATGTTGTAAAATATCAGATCATCCCTTTCTAGTCTCTTCAGAAATGTTTTACTTACCCGATAGTCGCTCATCCAATAATCTTTGTAACTTCGCAAAACATGTTTACCGACAAACATCGGAATAACTATGCAACCATAAAATGTAGCCGAATTATCATCACTAAATAACCAAAAAATTAACATGTCAAATACTTATGAAAATGTTCGACATCTTGCAATTATTTGCTCTGGGCGCGTGTGGCGCAGTGGTCTGAGGTGCCCTGCACTATACATGGGATCGATCGCCTCGCCCTAGGCTCACCAAGCCTTCTATTCCTCCAGAGTCTGCAAGTTGGTACAAGGCTTATGTGGGAGGATAGCTGCACTGGCTCGATATACGAGTATGTATGTATGTATGTATGTGTGTATGTATGTGTATGTATGTATGTGTATGTATATGTGTGTATGTATATGTGTGTATGTATATGTGTGTATGTATGTGTGTATGTATATGTGTATGTATATGTGTACGTGTATGTATATGTGTATGTGTATGCGTATGTCTATGTGTATCTGTGTGTGTGTATGTGTATGTGTATGTCTATGTGTATCTGTGTGTGTGTGTGTGTGTGTCTATGTGTATCTGTGTGTGTGTGTGTGTGTGTGTGTGTGTGTCTGTGTGTCTGTGTGTGTGTGTGAAAGTGTCTATTTTTTCGTTAAAAAAATTCTTTTCTCCTTGAATGCAAACCACTTTTCTACAGCATACGCTCAACGCTGAACTTATGCTAAAACTGATAAACGGAGTAAGGAGTGGTTCGAAGCCCAGTAAACGTAGAAACTATTCAAAATGATAAACTAGATCACGAAATCGTCTTTAAATCGGCTTTCCCTCCAACAAGTGAAGAAAATGAGTCTACAAAATAAATGTTAGGTAACCAGTAGACCTCTTCAGCTGGTGAGATAAGAAAGCGATCAAATGATTGAGCCTGTATTAGGTAACACCTAACAAATGCCGAAGTCGGATACACCGGGACATAACACCTGCGACGACGTTGGTAACTTCGATGAGCGAGAAGATAACTACAGCTGCATCTATTCTGCGGAACTAAACAACTGTACACTTAAACTCCATGAGTAATGCCATCTTTCTGGCCAAATTCTTATTGCTACGAGTTCAGATTACCAACACAGGGTGAGCTCGTCAGAATGCGAAAAAATTGGAAGGCATTTGATTCTGCTTCATTTCCCACTTAGATACTACGAATAACTTACACATAATTTATTCGCGATGATATTAGTCATGTTTGACAGCGCCGGTAGATAGGCATCGTTGCAAATGTGATACTAGTAAATGTTTGTTCGTAAGAAATCAACTCTTTTTACCAATTGGTTAACACTAGAGATATGGCCAAGTTCTGGTTCTCCTTGACGGTAAACTGTTTAGTGGCACTGAACGCTTGACATGCACCTCTTCTATTTCATGAAACACTCTTCTAGTACGTTACCCAAAACTTCTAGATTTTTGACATCGAAGGAAATACCAGTTGAAACAGAACACTCAGATACGTTTTCAACGAATTAAGAGCAGAAAAAATCACAAACCGGGAATTTTGATGGCGTTGCTTCAAGGCGTCTACTGTTCTCATTAAAGGATTCAGAAATACTCCAAATGGTGGGTCACACACAAGCAGAACACTTGAGCACTCCTTAATAAAGATAGTCATAGTAGAAACTTTAACCACTACAGAAATATGGAACTGGGAGCAATATACAGTTCGCAAAAAAACTCTGAAAAACCACCGATTTTATAAGAGCCATTACCGCGAAAAAGCCGTGAAGCTCTTCTGAAGACCTTTCATCGTAGAAATGGTCAACGAGCATGCTATATTGACCGAACTGGTGGGCAGGGAAAAACTGAGCCTGAAATACTAACAATAGACGAGGATTAATGAATGGTATGACGTTAAAGTGATAGTTACAATCTTTTTGGGTAAATACGTGTATAAAGATGTGCATGTACATGTAGATATATAGTCTTATTTTCAAAGTTCACAAATCTACAACCACAATGATGCTGTAATGTTCACAAAATTTGGAACCCGTGCCAGATCGAATCATGATTTCCCTTTCCGGGAGATCACGCATTACACATTGTATCACGGACCCCCTTGGTCCATGTCTCTCTCAACTCGTTTTCTACGTAACACTGCTATCAGCAATCACCTGTCAGCGGGATAGTAGGCAGAAAATAAAAGTTAACCCACGAATCTCTTATCGTAATCAAGAAGAAAAAGTCGACGATCCCCAGTTTCCTGTCTCAATTCTTCGAAAAGCTGAAAACACAATGTAAGCATGAGAACAATATAACTCGTAGTTCCTTCCTAGTTCAACAGCTTCCAGGAATATATGAAAGAGAAATAAAACACAAGTTTGCCTATAAAGCCAAAATATTGTCTCACTCTAGGTGTTCCAAGACACAGTACACCCTCAATTTGTGATCGCCGAACCACATTTTTAAGAACGCTGAGGGACTCATCGGAAAAGTAGAATTGCTAAATGATAACGATAACAGTAGAGACAATAGTTTAAGAACACCCGAAAAACAAAACTGAACAAAACTAACTGCTTCACCGCTCTGGGATTCTTTCGCAGCTAAAAGCCTCGTGGGAGCTCTAAGTTGTGCTCTGGAAACAATTTCTGATGGACATTTGTGTTTCACTGCAAACACGTCGACGCATTTATGACAGAAGACCAGCACCGTGGAAGGTGGGATTTCTTGAAGCCTAAAAGCACAACACTCTCAGTCTGCTGTTCATCAAGCAGCGAAGCACTAATTAAAAACGACTTCTCTAAGCATTCGTCGCATAGTATAACAGCAATGGTTATGCACTCACAATATTTTAATACTACTTTTGCCAGATGGACGCGTGTGGCGCACTGGTCCGAAGCGCCCTGCAACACACATGAGATTGATATCTGTGCCTCTGGCCCACCAAGCCCTCCATCCCTCCGGGGTCGGTAAATTGGCATGAGATTTATCTGGGAGGATGGCAGCACTGACTCAATAGATCGGCAGGCCACCGCGAGTCATCGTGATGGCCAGATACGCATTCAATCACCTCCAAACGATACTTGAAGTCGAATGCATGGAGCATCCCTCGGGGATTGAACAACGCCCAGAGCTTTATCCTTTATTTAATTACTCTTGCCAGAAATGTTCTTGATTATAGAAACAGCAGTGGTAGACGCGCCATGAAGTCTATTCATTTATTTTTGGGTGTTTTAGAAATGATGCTAACTCTTCAATATCGCGACTTCCATTAGATACTAACCGTAGATAGAGAGAGGAATAAAAATATTTTTGAAAAATGTTTTCCAACTACTACTGCAGGGACTGCTGGAAACTGAAGGAAAATTCCATATCCAGAAGAAAGCGCGCAGTCTGACCTTGTTATTAGCATGTGTTAGCTTTCTGATAATTTGAAAATCAAATCAATAGCCATAAAAGTTAAATGTTCAGAGTATAATCCATATTCAGCTATATCCGAATAAATTTCTCTTAATCGTTCAGCTTACACAAGGTTGGTATACAACTTTTATTCGGTCGATGTTTCGATGTCTTTGTTTTCGCCTGAGCCGATGATCCAAATCGATGTCCACAGTCGTTCACCTTGTCGATGTGGTGTCTTCGTCCCCGTATCGATTCGGACCTTCTTCAGCTGTACAGGATGATCATTGACTAATTGTTGATTGACAATTATTTCTCTTCATATATTAATATTATGGGTACTATTCAGTATAAGTATTTGTATCCAGTTTCATACGGCTTTGTGGTTGCTGTTCTCATACCGACTGCTGCAGGATGGACTGTCGACATGGAAACAAATCATTATCAGTCAACAACCGTACTGCATAAAAAAACGCTTCCCAGTGAGGTTGCCTCATTCGAACGGTGCGCCACTGAATAAGGTTCAACTCGATACGACAATGGAGACGCCACATCAAGAAGACGAGCAACTGTGGACCATCAACTCGGATCATCAGATCCGAGGAAGACGAAGACGTCGAAATGTTAGCCAAATAGTTGCATATCAACCTTGCGTAAGCTGAAAAATTCAAAGAAATCTATTGATTGTTCACGCAGACATTAAGTAGAAGTCGGTTTATCCGGAAATTTCTCAAGTAATGACGCACTCCTAGAGTGTGTTAAGACTTAAAACGAACCGAAAAGAATAGAAAGAAATAGAAATCAACGAGAAACAACTTATACGCTACTTCTTTTCAATACAGGCATAGTCGATCACGTTTCTTGTGCTTTCGCAAATTTCACCGGAACATGGAGACTTGCGAGAATCATCTTTGTTCTTGGAAATGCCGCTGGTTTCATCTAATTGCACTTTGTACGGACAAGAAGTTGCATCCTGTCTGAAAGCAGATTTTCGGATTTTCCGGAAAGATTGTCTACGAAGAAAAATTTACAAACTGAGTGATAGGAACCAAACATCAGAATGAAGTGTTGCTCTAATATGAAAGGAGTGCTTCGTAGCCCGTTTAAAAGAGAGTTGCTGAAAGCCTGCGCTTAAAAACACATTAGATAATACAACCACAACGACTACCCTCAAAGCTTAACTGGATTTAATGCATATTTGTGTTCGTCAGATAATCCCGTTGACAGGTGATTGCTGATGGCAGAGTAAGGTAGAAAATTAGCTGAGAGAAAGGCAAAGCAAGGACCTAGTAGTGTAGTTTGTAACACACGGGTCCTCGGAAAGGGTGATCGCGGTTCGATCAGGCCCGGGATCCATGTTTTACGAAAGCCTCAGCGTCGTTGTGGTTGTATTCCACATTATACGCTGCCGTGAAAATGAGCAGAATGTAGAAGAGTTAACATTAGACAATCTAGTAAAGGAAATAAAATTTGTTTCCTACGTGAACCTCAGGATTACGAAGTAAGAACCTGTAGATAGCACACGAGAAATATCGTGATCTAACTGTTCCATTTTGCTTTTCCTCGAATAATAAACATGGACCTGTAAATATACAATTAGGAGAAAATAAAACTTCATTCGTATCAACAAAAGTTTTGGAACTTTTGTTAATGTACCCTAAAAATCAAGCCAATGGATAGAAAATACCGAACAATAACAGATGCTGAGATATTTGCAGAACTCTGGGCCGCAGGTGTCTGCGGTGAGGAACGAACGCGCTATTACCTTCTCCGAGGGTTAACGCGTTTACCGCCACACCACATAGGCCTTTCGTTTCGTTTTTACCTTAGGTAGTTTTAATGTTAACAGACTTGAGTGAGCCTTTAGTGCAGGGATCGATCCCATTGCAGGATATCTCCAACCACCACGCTACAGGTTAAAATCAGACCAAATAGTGATATCCAAGTGTGCACGGTTCCATCAAAGAAAATTCTTCAACCAGAATATCCACGTCCTCTGTAAACAGAACCGAGGATATTTTATACGTCCACAATAGCTCGGTAACTCTCCTGAATAGTACTATAGGACTCATATTGGCAATAAATTGTTAGTAATCTTACATATAACCCAATAATTTACACAGCTTTCGAGGAAATTGTCCATGTTTTTGCGAACCACATGCATATTTCTTTTGTGGTGCTCAGGCGAATTCTCACCAGTTTGAAAAGCATAGGCTTAATCCAGCTGGTCTTCAGCAATCGCAGCACTGTACACTAATACGCCTAGACGAAAAGTATTTATTTCAAAAATAAATCCTCTCCTGGATACCAACTGACTTCCTCGAACAAGTGCGGAAACTAAATGTAACATTTTTTTCCACTTAATAATTAAAGTATCCTTGCATAGAACACGTCCAGCCTCTGAGGAAGGCGAAATCACCGAAACGTCAGCCATCGACCAACAACACCAACAGCAAGGAAAGTAAGAACGATAACGACAACGAAGACCTATACCAACGTCGCACTGGCTCGATAAGATCAGTTTAAAAGATCATATAAATAAATATATCAACTATCTATGCTGAGGTTTATAGAAGGTCGATATTTTTAGTTACCAGTAACATTGATGATTATCCATACCCATACTCTCCCAACGATTTACCGCTTCATTGTGGATGGAAGGTGTTCCTGGGTGGCTGCATTGTACAACAAGCTAATGAATCTCCTCAGTAAAGTCTCCGAAGCTAAGGAGTTCGGCGTTTTCATAAGGAAGGCCAGCTAAGAGTAAACCAATACCAAGGTCCACCACAACCCTGGAAGCAAACTAGTTATATGGCGGCAAATCTCTCTCTGACCCACAAACGCGGCGACGACTGCCTGTGGTGGTGACCATCCAGAGCAAACTTTGGCCAGACTGACTTCGGGACTCCAGAGAACCACAATGGCTAAAACCAGCAAAACTCCGAAAAGTGGAGATTACGCTGTTTCCGCACAAAGAGTGAAGACAGACCATCCAAGTATCCAAGTACAAGCATACCTAGCCTTTCGGTAAACCTCAACGACTTACCATGCGGACAGTGTGGAACACGGCTGTGATCAGCAACGTCTAACACTGTAAATGATCCACGTTCCCGCAACACGGCGTCTGAATTGGCGCGACTTCCATGGGTCTCCTTCTTCTTGATGATTCCATTCTTGTTTTTCGGATTAGAAAATAACGCCCTCTTCTGAGCTTTGGATTTCTTCCTTGACATGATGAAAGACATGGACCCTGACGTTCCTGCTGAATTTTGCACAGTATAGAACTAATTTCATTAACATTTATGTAGCGATGACTAGCCCACAACTTTCAGTACTTAAAATCATTCTCATGACAATATTTATTATAATTCAATGAATCTACTAAAGTGATCTACGAGGACACATTTCGAAAACATCCTACACAAGCATACATTACATTAAACGGTTCCGAGTACTTATTAAATTCGACAGCGAAAACCGGAAAACCGTGTCAGTCAATTCCGGGTGTTACAGAGAGAACACCAATTCGAAAGCCTTCGTGATACCAACGTCGTTGGTGTTGAAGTGGAGAAGACCTAAATCAGAATTATCATCGATTATTAAGAGAAATAAAGGATTTTGAATTTACATCCAAGGTAAGATGATTATTGGGAGGTCTAATGAGTAGTGACGAAAAGAAGGAAACCATAGAGTAGAAAAAAAGACCAATAGACGTGGGTGATTGCTGACTTACCGTCATAGCAACAAAGATGAGAGAATGTAGGAATTAGTTCTGCCAGCTACAACAGATTTTATACTTCAACAATACAAATTAAGAACTATACCAGCCAAAAGCGTCGCAGTTATGACGTACACTCCAGCACGAGCAGCCTTAGCAGCTACATCACCAATCACAAAGGGGCGTGCGTAATCTTGGATCACTCCCTGCACCCCCCTAAAAATCATACCGATAAGTAAAATAATGTAACGACAAATTTTGAAATATAAACTATGGAACAGCAAATTCCAAAAATTCCTGCCAACGGTTTACTACCCAATCTTGGCCAGGAGACGTTCATGGGTGTCGGGCAGCAATGTACAGCGGTGGGATTCATCACCCGGCAGGGCCTCCAATGCTAAGGAGTCCAGCGATTCCATCAGCAAGCCCATCTAAGAGTAAATCAATACAAGGACTAACAACCACACAAGTATCAAAATAGTCACATGGTGGTAAATCCGTCTGAACCATAAGGATGACGATTGCCTGTGGTGGTGACGACCTACAGCAGACTTTGGCTGAGATGACCGCGGGACCACAATAATTAGGCCAGCAAGACTAAAAAAAAACTGAAACTATGTTGGGCCCCGCACATCCAGTTGAGCCACACCATCTAAGTATCCGCGTTGGTTTTAGCAAATTCAGGCGACATCCACTTGTCGACGTTTCGAAGTTCAACAATTATAATTTTGCACTTAGCTGAAGTTCATTTCCGACAGTCAGTTCTGCAATGGGCCATCGAATCGTACGAAAAATCAACAGCTGATTTTATAGGGTGGAAAACTGCCAACAAATGAATAGAAACTTTTAAAAGACTGAACAAGTAAAAACAAAAGCTCGCACCAATGAATGTGTAGGGTAAGAGCCACAGTAAGCAAAGCATCCATGACGGGACCATGAATGAAGTAGGCGGCCGGAATAAGCGGCACCATTCCTGCAGCAAAGTAGCGCTCAAGCTGAAACTTTTGGTAAAAATAAATATCACAGAGAAGTAGACAGGTTTAGTCATGGTCAGACCATTACGGATTTTAAAAAATGTCTCGAATTCTGCGCTGCAAATATCATATACTTACTTGAATACTTGGATGGCCCGTCTTCACTGATTGTGCGGGCCTCAAAATAATTACCATTTCTTTTTTGGAGTTTTTCTGGTTTCGCAATTGTGGTTCCCTAAAGTCCCGAGGTCATCCTAGCCAAAGTCTGCATCAGGTCGTCACCTCCACAGACAGTCGCCGCCTTTGTGGTTCACAGAAAGATTTGCCACCATGTGCCTAGTTTGATACCAGGACGGTGGTGGATCCTGGCATTCGTTTACTCTTAGTTGGGTTTCCGGATGGAAATGCCGGACTCTTTTTCAGCTTGGGAGGCCATGTCGCCGGGATGAATCACCCGGCTGTACATCGTAGCTCAATACCCAGGAACACCTCTCATCCACGACGAAGTGGTAAACCGTCGGGAGGGAAGCAAACATTAGTTCTCGAAAAACAAAAACCCATTTTTACCTAGACTACCTACTGTCTTTGGTACAACAGAAACCTGAGAGAGCCGTGCTAGGGCATTCCAACGTAGAATTGAGGGAATGAGCGTTTTCCCGACAAGTTTGGTACAAATCTTCCGACCCTGGAGAGATAAGAGGGTTAGTGATCGTACATATATGATGAGTTACTAATCGAAGGATTACAGATATCATAGACGCACGCTTACCCGTTCGAATGTTTTTGAAATTGCTTAAACTACGTCTACTGCTGAGAACGTTCAAATATTGAAAATGGAACACATCAAATTTCATTTCATTTGTGACAAAAATGCGACCAGCAAATTAAAAGGACGAAGTTCTCGGCGGTGATCAATCCATGAAGGATGCGCCATGCATTACACTTCATTAAGCTTCGCTGGAGGTGATTGAATGCATATATGGTCTAAACAATGACCCGCGGTGGCCTAGTGAAGTATCGAGCCAGGGCTGCTATACTCCTAGACAAGTCTGCTTCAAATTCGCTGACCCAAAAGGCATGAAAGGCTTCGTGAGCTTGGGATGCGGCGATCGATCCCATGTGTACTGCAGGACGCCTCCCACTACTGAGCTACACGCGCGACACGCAAATTAGAACGCTTAAATGAACTAACTTTGAAATGAAAAGAATGGTCATGGGTCTTGTTTGCACCGTCGTTGAGGGAAGTGGTGGCACGAATGGCGCTAGTCGTCAGAGGAGTGCAAAGACGAGGTATCTGACGAGCGGCAAGCAGCGCTCTTTGCACATGAATGACTTGACGCAATGGAACTGACATCACTGAAAGTGAACTGAAAATGCCTCGAAACCTCAACCAACACTTATAAGCAGTTGTATCCGATTGCTATTCAATTCACACTTGTCTGACCATCAGCTGTTATCAAAGATGTTTCGAATATAACGGGTTGCAGTCGGATACAGCTTGAGCGGAAAGCTGTTCTGCTTCGCTCTGAACTGCACAACGGACACATGCAAATCGAGACGAAACATTGTTGAGTAGTTCGGGAACAAACAACTACAGTTTCGCCTAGATCAGAATGCCAACACAGATCATAGTTTTAACTCTTTTATTTACTGCCTTTTTTTCTTAATGGCAGGTTATGTTGCGAAATATAACTCGTATGAAATGATGAGATATTTGCAAAACTCCGGACCACAGGCGTATGCAGTGGAGAACGAACACGCGCTGTTGTCCTTACCGGGGAGCAGCGCACTTCACCGATATTGGCTCCCCAGATCAATCCCGTTGACGGGTGATTGCTGATGGCAAAAAGATCGATAGAACTAGCTGAGATACATGCAAAGCGAAGGACCCGGAAGGTGTAGTGGTGAAGTGCGCTGCTCCCCGGTAAGGACAACAGCGCGTGTTCGTTCTCCACTGCATACNGTATGCAGTGGAGAACGAACACGCGCTGTTGTCCTTACCGGGGAGCAGCGCACTTCACCACTACACCTTCCGGGTCCTTCGCTTTGCATGTATCTCAGCTAGTTCTATCGATCTTTTTGCCATCAGCAATCACCCGTCAACGAGATTGATCTGGGGAGCCAATATCGGCATTGAACCCAGGGTAGGACCCGGATGGTGTAGTGGTGAAGTGCGCTGCTCCCCGGTAAGGACAACAGCGCGTGTTCGTTCTCCACTGCATACACCTGTGGTCCGGAGTTTTGCAAATATCTCAGCATTTCATACAGATCGAAGTGTATGAAAAAGTAGCACGTCTATTCACCAGCCCAAGTACTAGTCATCTGGAGCTCNGGTGTAGTGGTGAAGTGCGCTGCTCCCCGGTAAGGACAACAGCGCGTGTTCGTTCTCCACTGCATACACCTGTGGTCCGGAGTTTTGCAAATATCTCAGCATTTCATACAGATCGAAGTGTATGAAAAAGTAGCACGTCTATTCACCAGCCCAAGTACTAGTCATCTGGAGCTCTTGAGGACGCTATAATATACTCTAGCAAAACTGTAACAACAAAATCCAGAGAAAGCACAAGTACCAAATAAGGATATACGTATGTATGTATATACATTTACATTATTCAACTGTATTTATACAATACTTACAAGGATACTAAGACACGCCGCCCTCAGTGGTTGTGCGGGCCACAGCATAATCTCCATTTTTCGGAGTCATACTAGTTTAGCTATTGTGGTTCCCTGGAGTCCCGAGCTCAGCCTGCCCATAGTCTATCCCAGGTCATCAACACCACAGGCAGTCGCCACCCTTGTGGATCACAGGGAGATTTGCCACCGTGCGACTAGTTTGGTATCAGGACGATGGTGGATCCTGGTATTGGTTTACTTTCAGCTGGGCTTCCTGATGGGAACTCCGGACTCCTTCTCAGGATGGGAAACTCCGCCAGAGAGATGAACCCCCACTGTAGATCGCAGTCCAACATCCAGGAACACCTCCCAGCCACGATAAGGTGATAAACCGCTGAAAGGATTTAGGAATTGGAAATTTAGGAAAGAATTTAGAAATTTATACAATATCCAATAGGAATCCAACATGTCGGACGATCAAGTTCCGTAGAAGGCCCAACTGCTGCCTAAACACTCATGCGATGACAGGTTTCACACAGAAAATCGTTTTCAATTATACTTTAGGATTTATAAACCGTGAAATTCATCTCTGAAGCACAGATGCGAAGTTGTGCGCTCGTTAGTCCACAACAGTGTGAAGGCCTCCAGAAATGCACTCGCCGACTGCACACTATATGCCATCTGCGTAGCATTTCCTTTCGATTTCGAGAGTATTCAATCACGAACTGGGCTCACTATTACTACATGAACTCTCGAAGCAGTTAAAAAGTGCAATGCAGTGAATACTGAAGCCAATCGCTTGGCGAAAACTTCCCAAGCATGCATCGTTCGTTTAATTCATCGCGCTTCTGGAAACGTGCAGTCGGAGAAACTGTTGCAAATTTGGCACTGGTTTTGTGTGGAAGTAATACGCTTTGCCCGTGTACTGTGAGGAGTGAAATGATGGCGTGATCCTTGCGATGACTATGAGCACTTGCTGTATTCACAACTCATGTTCTCTTCAAAGGATATCTCTGACAGCAGCCCTACGGCGACTCGATTCGCAATGTTCGGTGACAACAGACGAGCCAAGGAACTCCTGAGTATGCAACGCACGAAAAGACAAATTTTGTGGGGTAGAGTTTACTAATATTTTCGATCTTCACGTGTCCCTGTGTACTCAAACTAATTAGTTGAATTAACTCTGCTTCGTTGCCAGTGTGTTCCGAAATGTTCTTCAAGCATGGCATGAAAAGCGCGCACGTATCGATCATCACTAGCGATGAAGCTTGTTATTCAATCGGTTAGAGTTGACTAGTTGTAAGAACTCCCGTTCTAGCAATCTGCGAGCTTCTATAAACATATGTGCTTTGTTAAAGACTGATATCATTCTCCATTACACCACCTCTGGATGTTTCGAGTGCTGGAATAAGCTCGTTGTGAATAGGATATATACTGCCCTTTGTTGGTGTTCTATGCAGTTTCCTCACATTATATCCGAATGTTACCTCACTCTCATTGAACCATGGTTCTGAAGCCCGACGTTACCACCTTTACCGTCCACTGAACAATCATTTACAACTTCGAAGTCAAGTTTGAAAACACGAACGACAAGGCCTTCAACGCTTTCACCTATTGGCCACACGGATTTTATGGGGGAATTTAAAAATTCCAACAGTGTTGAATGCATAGGATAGACAATGGAAGCAATCTTGTTCGAGATCAATTCTTACATTAGTAAACAACAAACTTCGAAAGGTGTAGTTGCAGTCTATCACAATATTCCAGGCCACCTCGTAAATGAGAAAAAGGAATGGCCCGAGTAAACGTAACTTTACAGTTCAATCTATCTAGTATTTTGATCTGTTGTGTTCCTCTCAACTGCGTTGGTTCAAATTCACTCTAACAGTGGTTCTCGAAGTTTAAGGATGAGTGGTATCAACTTGTGGTCTGATTTGTAATTGTACCAGGAAAATTAACAGTTCTGAGACAAGACGAGCACACATCCTTTTCGTACGGATTTCTGAACATGATATAAACCAACAGATACAGGACCGCATGCTCAATGGCTTTCATAAAAAAAACGAATAGAGCTCTCGGCGTTGATCAATCCCTGAGGGATGAGCTATGCATTCAACTTCATTAAGCATTGTTGGAGATGAATGAATGCATCATATCTGGCCTTTACAATGACTTGCGGTGGCCCACTGATGTATCGAGCCCGTGCTGCTATCCTCCCAGACATATATGGCACCAAGTTGCCGCCGCCAGTGGAATGTAAGGCTTGGTGGGCCAAGGGCGCGGAAATCGATTACATGCGTATTACAGGACGCTTCTGGCCACTGCGCTACACGCGCCCCTAACAACTTTCACAATAATGATAAATACAGAACCTATGCAGATAACCACACATGTAACACTCAATGTTTCATCACTCACAGCAAAACCACTGAACGCCGAAGGAAATGTGCAGCACCGATTTCTCGTTCCAGTGAGACCACGACAAACCGTGCCCGTGCAAAACTTGTCCTAAGGGTTATGGCTAGTTTGTTTGGTAAGTTTGGCATACGAAAATCCCAACATATGATCGACAGTGGTGGAAAGTTGTTGTAGAGAAATAAGTGAAACTGCGCTGCCTACCAGTAGTTATCTGCCAACAAATTCATTACTTCGTGTATCCAAAATAGAACTTATTGTTAACTTAGAAGCTTGTGTGGAAATAACGAGACATGCATTTCGATTTGAATGATCGCGATAGACATGAGTTTTCCAAGAGCGAAATGTCTAAAGCGGTTTACGAAAATCACATCAGGAAGACCGACTTATATCACAAATGTAACGAATTCCCACTACACTTCCAAACATGGGAAAATCCTCTAGCCCAGCAGCTTTCAAATTATTAATCGAAAGTTTAAAGACACATATTGAACAACGTTTAGTAACATCAAATAGAACAACGAACTTCGTTGGTGAGAAAAAATCGAATGAACTGCAAAAAAAAACTACAAATCCACAAACGACGACGGGATTGTGGACAAGAATCTACTAAACGGAATCTACTCACAGTGGGCCCTCTACTTTGAGCAGATCTCCAATCTCCGATGGGAGCAACTAGGGTTGCGGGAATGACAAGCTGAGCCAAAGCGCTCGGAGCATCAACAAATGACCCTCGTTGGCGTGAAATGAAATGCATGTTGCGGTCACACTACACTAATCTTCGCCTATTTTAGGCGTTGAAAGTACTTGCACCTGCTCATCAGTTAGGGACTTTCCCGTCGCTTGGGATTGTTTCGAATTCCTCTTGAGTAGCCTGAGATTTACATCCCTGGGTATGTCGGCGATTCAAGGGAAGCGAAAATCCACCGGAATGTCATTGTTCGTCGATGACGGTGAAAAGCCGCCAACGAAAAAGGCTTCTGGAGGTAAATCTTGGTAGCAGAACCGTTCATCATCCGTCTTTGTTGTGTTTAAATGGTCTTCGCAGAATTCTTTTTTTCAGGGCTATACGATAGTGGTGATGAAGAGGACAGATCTGTCCCAAGAGTGGGCGATGCAACGGTGGATACGTCTCGTGACGAAGACAGTAGCACCGTGTCCAATGGAACTATGTTGAAGGAGCCACATATGCTAAAAGAAGAGAATGAGACAGGTATGATCTTTAAGTTTATGGTATTGCTGCATAGAAATGAGATGGTCTCGTATTTCTGTAGCACAGTTCCGACTTTATACATTGGTTTTTTTCATTTTTTGTCTTTTATCCATTGGTTCTAAAGCATATTTACTTACGTGGATACTTGGATGGCCCGTTCCCATTAGTTGTGCAGGCCCCAGTACAATCTCTATTTTTTCGGAGTTGTGCTGGTTTAGTTGGTGTGGTTTTCCGGAGACCCGAGGTCAGTCAGACCAAAGTCTGCTCCAGGTCGTCACCACCATAGGCAGTCACCACCATAGGCAGTCGCCACGGTTGTGGATCAAAGGAAGATTTGCCACCATGTAACCATTTTGGTACCAAGATGGTGACGGATCCTGGTGCTGGTTTACTTTTAGCTGGGCTTCCTGATGGAAACACCCGACTCCTTCCTAACTTAGGAAAACCTGCCGGGGGATGAATCCCCTCGCTGTACATCACAGCCCAATACCAAGGAACACCTATCCACGATGAGACGGTAAACCGTTGCGAAGTCTAACGTCTAAAGCATATTTGGCTGAAGAAATTCTAAACTTTTGAGTTTGAACAGGCATAGCTCACCTCGTGGTGGATGCCATCTGTCTTAGTGGAAATTGGCAGAATTTGCTGTTCTTTTCCAACAAAATCTATATTCACTTGTCCTATCATGATTGAATGATTTCTTAAATCCTACAGCCTTTTTTATAGCCTTCAGAACTAACGCTTTGGGAAATTAGGAGAAGAAAAATTTTTTCTAATTTTCTTGTTATCTTCTGTTCTTGTTATTCAACGGTGTTCTTCTTTATCTGTTTCTTTTATACCTTTTCATTCCTCCATATTCCCACTCTCACTGTTTTTTTCTCTCTCTTTCCATTCTTTTCAATCTTCTTCATCTTCTTTTTTACCGTTCTTTTTTCGACTCTTGTTATTCGTCTGTGTTTTTCTTTATCTGTTTCTTTTATACTTTTTCACTCTTCTCTCTCCCTCTCTTTCTTCTGCTTTTTCCTTTCTCTTTTGTCTTTTTTTTAAATGCATGTGTTTCATTGGTTTGTACTGCTGCTGGAGCTTCAGTTGCGGAGCTAGGTCGGTAAGTTAGGTGGATACGATGGAGATAAGTTCGAACATATGTAGAGTTTGCCAGTAACCCATTAGTGTCAATGAGTTGTCTTGCTGGTTTTACATTGTCAACAATTTTAAGTAGTCGTTTTTATGATGTCATCGTAGAATCTGCGTTGTCTTCGTTTGTTCTGGTCCATTTCCAACGCTCTTGTTTCTCCAAATTTTTTGAGTCATCGTGTAAGCTACCCTTCTCTCTGTGTTATTCGATTCTTCATAGTGGGATTTCTCCGTGAGCAGTTTTACTAACAAATCGCTACCAAGAAGACGACTTCATATGCAGTCGTACGGCCAGCGTTATAAGTCAGAACGCCGACTTGCTACAAACCTCGGCATAAATAATCGTTATATTTATAGACATGTTCTTATAAACCGATCTTTTTGAGCCGATGCGAGGTTGGCGTATTTGCCGTTGTTGTTATTTTTGTTGGTTGATGACTGATGTTTCGGCAATTTCGCCCTGCTCAGAATCTGGACGTATTTTATGTAACAATAGTCTTATAATTCTGTGGAGGAAACTATAATATTAATGAAGATGTAGCATAGAAATAAACGCCATGTTGATCAAAAAACTGCTCACCGCGCTGTTACGAGTGGGACTGCCCGCGCGTTGTTCACGTGGGATAGCGATCGAGACCCACCCAGAGGTCAAAAAATCATTTTGAAATAAGGTGCCAGGTCAAGTGTCATCGTGAGGCATTGGTCTTTCCTGTTCATCTTTGGGTTTTTGAAATTTATCCAAAAGGCCTCAAGAGTTTAGCTCGTCGACGTTTTCGATTCCTTCGCTAGGATCCGGACATAGACTTCAAAATCATCGCCGTTGTGCTTTTATGTCTTACGTATACCTCGAGGAGTGCTCTGACGAATTTTGGCTTTCCCATCTAGGTATTCTTTTATACGGGCTCAAAGTGCTCTACCCGTCTCCTCAATGTATTTTTCACTGCATGTCTTACAAGAGATCAAGTATCCTCCTCTCCTGCAATCCCCATCTTTCTCGTTCGGACAGATCGTGCCAGGCTCTGAGGAAGGCGAAATCGCCGAAACGTCAGCCATCGACCAACAACAACACCGATAGCTTATGCCAATCTTGCATAAGCTCAACAGAACCACTTCATAATAACATGTAAGTATATGGATGGCGTTGTGTTTGGCATGATATGAGAATAGTGAACTTTCATTATTCATGGAGGAACTTGCTGCCTTTTGAGTATTTTTTAAATAGTTGTCCGCAGTAAGTTCATGGGAAAACTGAGTATAGGTTTTTCGACTCCATCAATCTGCATAACTGTTTTTCCTTCTTCGTAGTGTGTCCTCGTTCTACGAAATCCTACATTTGAACGGTCTCCGATCCTGCTCCTTTGGTTATAATCTCTGTGTAGCAGTCGTAGCCTCATTAAACATTCATGTTCATTTTGTTACGATTTCGAAAATGATTCCAGCATTTCGATTTGTTTATGTTTGTCGTCAGTGTATGTAATCTGCCCGAGTTCAAGAAGTTCTCTGAGTTCTGTTATACAACTTTAACGGAGAACGTTTAAACCTTTCAAGAACGGAGAAAAGTTTGTAGTAGTTAATAAGCGTGGAACAATCCTCTCCTTTTCTTGCAGTAAGAACTAACAAGAAGGTGTCTGCAGTGGGGAACGAACGCGCTATTGTCCTTTCCGGTGAGTAACGCATTCACCACCACACCATGCGGGTCCTACGTCTCACCTGTCTCCCAGCTAGTTCTATCTTTTGCCATCATTGCTGACGAGTGATTGCTGATGGCAAAAGATCGATAGAACCAGCTGAGAGACAGGCGAAACGAAGGATCCGCATGGTGTGGTGGTGAACGCGTTACTCACCGGAAAGGACAATAGCGCGTTCGTTCCCCACCGCAGACACCTGCGGTCCGGAGTTCTGCAAATATCTCAGCATTATAGAAGTTATATTTCACAATATACCCTGCCGTTAAAAAGAATAGGCAGTAAATAGAAAAGGTTAAGATTGATTCTAACCAAAAGCATTTGAAATTTTGCTGAAGTCCTCCACTGAAACCTATTTTGTGGAAGGAATGGATGGATACATGGATAAATTTCGTTTATTTTTATTGTCCTGTTATGTTTAGTGTTTGTTAATTCCCGGTTTTCTAATTTTTCCGTAGGTCTATCGAATATTGTAAAAGATTTTAGTAGTTTAGGTTTGGAACCACTGCAACTTCTTAGCGTCCTTGGATGTAGACGTGGGGAACGCGATGATATGCAGGATGCGCACCTCTTACTAGACAACTTCTCTCTAGGACAATCCTTTGTGTTGGTTTCTTTCTGTTTCAGTAACCTCCGAGGGTTCAGAGCTTTTTGGAGTTTCTAGCCAGGTAATTCAGGAAACGATGTTCGTTGTATGCGATCTTCGATGGACATGCTGGAGCTCGCGCTGCAAAATACTGTGAAGAACACATACCTTCAGTTCTTATGAAAAAGTTGAGTTCGTGTAAGTATGCAGGGGTAGCTGTCTCTGTAGGGCCGTGAAAGTAACGATATTATAGTGCCATTCCTACCTCGTTTTTATCTTCTACAGATAACGATCCGAAGCTCATGGAGAAACATTTAAAGCGGATCTTCGCTGAAACCTTTAAAGCAGTTGACGAGAGCTTTCTCATCGAAGCAAGGAAAATGTAGGTTAAGGATTATAGTTATCGTTTTTGTTATCGCTGTATCATAAGGAAACCTATGTTTAACTTCCTTCATTTAAAAAATGTAACATAACGCATGCTATTGAAGGCAATCAATGGCGCCAACTTTCCCAGTTCTTAAGCATAAACTGCATATTTATAAATAAAGTTTTGTACTATCAAAGGGGATCTGGATTACACATTCTCCCATTTTCACGCGAATTCAAACGTGGAGATAAAGCCATGGAAAATTCTCGCACTATCAACTTTGCGTTCACCAACGAAGCTTTAACGGGCGCTTGGTGAAGAATTGGTTTCAAAATATTCGTGACGAAGATCTTATACATGAGGAGGTTCATGGATGACGGCTGCCATCGAAGGTATTCCTACGAATACGTTGATTGAACCAAAGATTAACACAACTGCCCAAGAATTTTGCGAAGAAGTAGCCATAATTAAAGTAACTGTTTCGGAACGCAGTCGAGTTGTGTTATTGACAATCACGACAGATGACTTCATGCTGCACCTCTTTACAAAACATTTTTCGGCCTTCCCTTTCAGTTCAGGTATCCTCAAATCGACGCTGTATTACGCATATCTCTTTGCGCTTTCTAGTCGTTGGACCGTCCTAATTTATCACATTTTGGAGAATATGGATTGATTTCAACTCGCATATGATGAAGAATGACATCCTTTAAATTCTAAAACTTGCAACACCTAATTTCGTCTTGCCGACGCGAAGGGCAGCAATCAACATTTGAGTGTAACGGACACGCTTTTTCGATAATAGACGATAATTTTTCAATGACTAGAAGACTTCACGTAGCAATTCCCAAGACCGACTTTCTGTTAACTTCCGCATTAATTGATAATTCAATGTTTTTCTTCAATAGGGAGGCACGAGGTTGTTAATATAGAATTTATTTGAATACAGTAGCTGACGTTTCGGCGGTTTCGCCTTCTTCAGAGCCTGGAAAGGTCAAATTGAGATGTGATCTACTCAGCTAAACACTTTCATAACCCCAGTAGATAAAACTTGACAAATTGATTTGCATTCGCATAAGAAACAGCTTCATTCAAACACCTACCGTTTATTTGTTGTAAGTATTTAAGTTAGCTGGTGGATAGCAGCCGCACAGAGTAATACATGAGCGAGGACTGTGTCTGTGTCAGGTCATTGGATTAGCCTAAGGTATGGCGCCAGGTCACACGTGATGACAAGACACTCCTTGCGGTTCATTTTTGAATTTTTGGCATTGATCCAAAAGGCTTCAAGAGTTTTACGCGCTGATGTTTTCGATTCCTGCGTAAGGATAGTGACTCCTACCTCAAAATCTTCTCCGTTGTGTTCTTGCATCCTATGCGCGCCTAGTGGAGTATTATGTTTTAGTTTAGATTTACCGACTAGGTGTTCTTTTATGCGGAGGCAGAGCGGTCTACCCGTTTCGCCAACATATTCGTGCCCGCACGCTTCACAAGAGATCAGATAGACTCTACCCGAACTTATGCAATCACCGTCTTTACCATCTGGGCAAATTATGCAGTTTTTTGTTGTACATAGACGGTCGTATAGGTGGTTGCGAACTAGCTGGCGTCTTAGAGTGTCCGGTGGTATTTCTATTACTCTTACGGAATTCTCTAGACCGGCCCTTATTAAGCAGCGTTTTATAGCTGCACTTGTTTCGTTTGCAATAAAGGGCAACAGGAACGGAGCCTTGTTTTCGCTAGAATTATCGCTCTGGGGCGTGGGATTTCCTCGTTGCCTATGCCGAGAGGCTACAGTTTCGTAACCATTTGAAATGGTTATTTGCCGCGCCAGTTTCGAGGATTCTTCCCTCTGCTCTCTACCTCTACACACGCTGGCGTCGGTTCGAAACATATTTCTTATAAGCGCCCTTTTAGTGTGTGAGGGGTGAGAGGAGCGGTAATGAACTACTATATTCTTACTACTTGGCTTTCGATACCATTTTGTGTTGTAGCCGTTCTCGGATAGGTTAATTTGAAGGTTTAGAAATGGAAGCCAGTTTTCTTTCGATTTCTCACGAGTGAATTTTATGTACTCTGAGTGTTCATTCAATAACTTAAAGCATTTGTCCGTCTCCTGTGTGGAGCAGATGACAAAACAATCATCTATATACCTACAGTAGAGTAATGGCGTGAGATCGATTACTGGTGCTTCCACTTTAGACATTAAGGCAACGGCAAGGGTTGGTGCCAGTCACTGTCCCATTGTCAACCCTCTAATTTGCGCGTAATATTTCCCGGACCATCTGAAGATCGAGCAGTTTAAACAGACCTTCAAGAGGACCATAAGCTGCTGAATCGAAAAGCCATACATGTTAATTGCTCCTTCGTGTTGCTCAAGAAGCTCGCGGATGGTTTGCATTGCGGAGTCGTTCGACACGTTAGTGTAAAGGACGGTAACGTCGAACGACTCCATAACGTACGCGCTTTTGGGACGTGTGTTACGCAGACGGTCCAGGTACATTTGGGTGTTCATGTGATGGGCTGGTATGTGCCTAAGCAACTGGTTGAGGATTAGGTTTATAAACCAAGCAATTCTATCCGTAGGCCCATCTACACAACTTATGATGGGTCTCATTTTAAAAGTGGAGGGGTCGGTAGACGCCAGATCATCAGCGCGTATTAACTTATGGGTCTTGATAAGTAAGTATAGGACGGGACATGTCAGCACTTCGATCTTTAGATGCGAAATGTCTGCTGGTTTTAAACCTGCTGCGCTTGCCGTTTTGACCCATTCGCTGTTCAGTTTTCGATTTTGACTTCTGAATTTCTTTTCAGTAGATGAGCGATAAAGAGATGCGTCTTCGAGATGTTTTTCTGTTATATCGACATCTAACTGGCGAGGAATTACTACAAACTCTCCACTCTTATCACTAACTGATAGCCTAATAGTTTTTGATTTTATTAGCTCTCGAACCTGTCGCATACCAGATTTTTGCGTAGCTGTAAGGTTCGAACTAAACCTTTTCGCGCGGTAGTGGTTAAGGACTTTAAGAGTTTCGCTCGAAAAAATACGAAATTTAATATCGACTTCGTCGTTTGGGTCTTGCTGTCTAAAGAATAACCGAGGAAATGGAGGTGGGGGAAGCGCCCCTGCTGCTCGTTGTTCTTTTCCATTTTGTGTCTCAATTCTAGCGTTGCTTCGGAGTCGATCTTGGAGCTCGTGCAGGCTGCACGCTATCCTTCGCAAGGTTTCTTTAGAAATGGGTTGCGCTGGTGAGAAACTTGGACCCAATTCTAATAGCGAGTGCGCGTCATCAGCGAGAGTTATGCCTCCTAACACGGTGAGCCTTGACATTTCAGGCACGTTATCGACCACATTTTTAGTGCTAGCGCTTCCGTAAAAGATTTTGCTTTCTTTAATTGAAGCTGGTTTTTGCGAATGATTTAGTAAATTTTGAAACTTTCTGCTTAAGGTTACTTTAGCATTCGACCTAATAGAATCACAAATCAAAGTTGACCCACCCACTATTCTCTTCCAAAGGGATTCATCCAAATACTGGACACAATAAGATTCCTTCGACTTGCATTTCTTCAATTGCGCGTACATGGTGTTCTGCTTGCATCGAAGAGAGGCGCGTAGTAGTCGCGTTTCGATGTCCAGTACTAGTTGGCCGTCCCTTGGTAGGCCCCATACATCGTGCAGTCGTTTTCGTTTGATGAAGTTCTGCACGACTCGGTGTTTCAGGCAGCGGCGGAGGAAGAGTATCGTTTGTCTAGCTAACACAATTTTTTTTGTCTTAGTGACAGGATTTCTTTAACAAGTCGGAGATATTCTGCTGGCACTTCACGTAATTCCCAAGACCGACTTTCTGTTAACTTCCGCATTAATTGATAATTCAATGTTTTTCTTCAATAGGGAGGCACGAGGTTGTTAATATAGAATTTATTTGAATACAGTAGCTGACGTTTCGGCGGTTTCGTCTTCTTCAGAGCCTGGAAAGGTCAAATTGAGATGTGATCTACTCAGCCAAACACTTTCATAACCCCAGTAGATAAAACTTGACAAATCGATTTGCATTCACATAAGAAACAGCTTCATTCAAACACCTACCGTTTATTTGTTGTAAGTATTTAAGTTAGCTGGTGGATAGTAGCCGCACAGAGTAATACATGAGCGAGGACTGTGCCTGTGTCAGGTCATTGGATTAGCCTGAGGTATGGCGCCAGGTCACACGTGATGACAAGACACTCCTTGCGGTTCATTTTTGAATTTTTGGCATTGATCCAAAACGCTTCAAGAGCTTTACACGCTGATGTTTTCGATTCCTGCGTAAAGATAGTGACTCCTACCTCAAAATCTTCTCCATTGTGTTTCTGCATCCCAAGCGCGCCTACCGGAGTATTTTGTTTTAATTCAGATTTACCGACTAGGTGTTCTTTTATGCGGAGGCAGAGCGG